TTGATCTGTCTCCATAGTAGATGTGGATATAATGTTCAACTTTAATTTTGAGTATTACATTACCTTTTACCATGACCCATTGCCTAACCTATCCTTTGCTCTCCGTAAATGAAGCCATTTTTCGCTGAAAATTTATGATGCTTCATCTTAAATAAAGCAAGTATCCTCTCCCATAAGAAGCATAGTAAGCATGCGGCTAGTCTCAAAGTTCGTTATTTCAATTGTATGGGTGTGTTTTGCTTTCTAAATCCGCATACTTTGAATGAAGTTTTCTAAAACTGTTCTTAGCCCGATGACTGCTTGGTGATTGCCAACCGCTTGTAAGAATGGTAACCTGTGCTTAGCAAGCCAGTTAAAATAATATTACTTCCACATTTTAATAAAGGTAGGCATCTACTGATTATTTAATATGTCTTAACGGTTTACGCTATCACATTGCCCGCAAAGGTCCGGCCAATCTGATCACCGATTTAGGACCCTGTGTGTTACACTCTAAATAGCATAACGGGCAAGACCAAAGGGGATGGCTCGTTAATCTACACCCAGGAACAACTGACAACGACCCCCACACCTTACTTATTCTTTAAGGTGTTCCAATCGGGATTATTTTAAATTTTATCATGCATTAGTCTGCCAAAGTTCCCATAGAATTCTTTCCAGTCTGGTACTATAGTCTTTTATAGTCTTTTACCCTCGTCCCTCCCATTATTACTTTTACGTGTGTCCTCCATACTGTTCTCCTTTGAAGTCTACCACGTTTTCCTTCAATGGTTGCGTACGTCACTCTCCTCGTTCCCACAATTACAGTTCTCCGTCTTTCCATACCATTCTTCATTACTGCTTGCTTAGCCTTCGTACGTATTAATTGTTTCAAAAGATTTTACTGCAAAGGACACTTACCTTTCTTCTTCATGAAAGGACAACAATCGGTAAGGAAGCCAAGGCGAAGCCGGGCTTCCGCGCTAGTTTTATCTATAACCCTAACAATAATCCTTCCTAACACAGAGATAACTCTTATCTTAGCTTTATACTTACTGGAAGTTAGCAGAAGCCTGCCCAGGTAATTGCTCACTATTGCGCACTATGCTACTATCTACGTTAATTTGCATCCGCTAGAAATGCCAAAGTTTTTGCAAAAACCACTTTGTCAACCCGATGTGGCTAGACCTCACCGAGAAAGAAAAGTCAAAAAGAATGCTGGAAGCGTGCATCTAAAGGAAAATATCGTGTACGAAGTTAGCAAATATATCAGCGTATGTGGACAGTTGTTTTGGGAATTCTTAGCACTGTAAGCATAAGTGAAATGT